CTGACGTTCACACCTTGAGGCCTGCCTTTGGCCACTGGGTACCTCTGACTTTATTGTCTTGGAGTACCCTCAGGCCGTTTCCCATCTCTGAGCCTCTTCTCTCTGCTCGGAATGTACTTTCTCACTTCTGCTGTTAGCTTACCCTTCAAGACTCTGCTTAGCTGTCATCTCTTCCAGAAAGTCTTCCCTGACTTTCTGACCACCCCCCACTGCCCTTGGTTTTGGCTTGGACCCTGCTGGGCGCCGTCTGAGTGCCTTGTGCATTTTCCCTTACTGCCCCGATGCAATCACCTTTAGTGCCTTAAGCACAGAGAATGCCTTGCCAGTGCTGAGACTATATCCTTCCTTTTATACACTGAGTGGTCAGCACAGGGCCGGGCATGGAGACCATCTCAAAACGTGTGTGTTGAACTCAAATGAAATGAGGGGCAAACAGCTTTTTAACTATCTGGCAAATCTGTTTTCAGCAAAGGATTATAGAAGCTTAAATGGATTTAGGAAAATGTATATATGTCATGTCTCTATGGGATTCCCATATTTTGCAGAAGCTTCTGAAAGGAACTCTTTTATGTCTATAAGTGTAATGGCTGTGCCTATCAAAGAAAAAGCATTAAAGACAATGGAGGTGGTAGCAATGGCATCAGTGTATGCTGTATTCTTTTCACAAGTTTGTTATTCTCAGGAAATGTAGCATGTCATCAGTGTGAGTTTCATGTTTCCTTGTAATTTTATTGGACATAATGGCACCACAACTAATAAACCTGCCATATAGTGACAGAATATGACTAAGCAAAATTTGATCTTCATAAATGTAGGAAAAGTGCTCTTCTTGTGGTATGACTAGTTTTCTTATAAAACAAGGAAATGGTCAAAAGGAAGAATAATGCCTTGAGAGGATGTTTCCAAATGGATAAAAGAGACCTGCTATTTATTTGTAGTCTGTAAACACAATCATTCTTGGGGGATGAACAGGTAATGCTTTTACCTGGCACCTCATAAAATTCTGAATTCATGATTTTGTCATTTTTTATGGCTTTGCAGCACCTTGCGATTTTAGTGTGGTTTAACTTTGGATTATTCTTCTGTAGCAAAAGTGAAGGGTACCAGAGCCAATTCCTGGCTGAAAGCTGCCCCTTTGTCACCTCTCCCTGGGGACCAGGCTGGGGAAAAACGCTTCCCTTCTTTGTGTTCAATTTCAACCCAATAGAATGTAAGACCCTGAGGATCTGGTTTCATTATAATTTTCTTGAAATAATGACCGTGTAATGACCAAACATCACAGTAAAAGTCTGATCTTCATAAATATATAAATTTGCATTTCATCCCAATAGGATGTAAGATCCATGAAGCCGGTGAATTTTGTCTGTTTTGTCAACATCAGTGTATCTTTAAAAAAATTTTTATTTATTTATTTTTGGCTGTGCTGGGTCTTCGTTGCTGCGCCTGGGCTTTCTCTAGTTGCGGCGAGCGGGGACTACTCTTCGTTGCAGTGCGCGGGCTTCTCAGTGTCTTGGCTTCTCTTGTTGCAGAGCATGAGCTCTAGGCACGTGGGCTTCAGTAGTTGTAGCATGCAGGCTCAGTAGTTGTGGCTCCTAGAGCACAGGCTCAGTAGTTGTGGCGCACGGGCTTAGTTGCTCTTAGGCATGTGGGATCTTCCCGGACCAGGGCTCAAACCCGTGACCCCTGCATTGGCAGGCGGATTCTTAACCACTGTGCCTCTAGGGAAGCCCAACATCAATGTATGTTAAACATTGAATATGCTGCCTGTTACAGTGTAGATGATCAAAAAATATTTGTTGAAATATTTTTCAGTGGAACCCCTGTGGGCCTGGAACTTCTCCCCAGTAAGACATACATCTGTGCAGTTTGAATTTCCAGGGCATTTAAAACATCAGTTCTATTCCCAAGGTTTAATCTAAAGAAATATTGGCCATTGGTCAGGTGAGGGGTATACGTGTGAAGCACAGATCTCTTTTTGGCCCCTGAAATCATGGACAGAATCAGCTTCATCCATTGCTAACTGGAGGACTGCTTTGTAACAGTTTCAGAAACTCTGTGTGTATGTGTGTGTGTGTACCTGATGAAAATGTTTTGGGAAAATATATTTCCGATCTCACATATGCTTCATTCCGCAGTACTCCCGTTTCTTTTCCCTTGGCCGTGTGGAGCTAAGCCTCGTCCAAGACAAGAGCCTCAAGTCGGGTCATAGACCCGCAAGGTGAAGGGTGTTTCCATTTCAAATGGTGCAGGCTGGGGTGCAGCAAGCATGAGACTGATCTCGGGGAGATAGCAGTGAGCAGTGGCTTGAAGTGAGATCTTAGTTCCCTGCCCAGGAATTGAACCTAGGTAGCCTGAGTGAAAACCAGGAATCCTAGCTGCTAGTCTACCAGGGGCTAGAGGCTAGAGGCAAAGTTGCCCTGGCTCTTGCCCTGTTTAAAAAATGAATTTCTCAAGGAGGCAAAAACTGCAAAAGCAGGTACAGAGTTTATTATCAGAGACACAGCACAACATGTGGGAGAGCACACAGAGAAACTATTTATTTAAGACAGAAGCAAGGCAGAAATACACACCCGGAGAGAAAGGGTGTGGGTGTCCTCCCTAATGAGGAGAAGCACAGTAAAGAGGTGGTTGAGTCATTTATATAGGGCAGTTCTTCCGGCTCTTTGTCTACCTTTGGCCGATTATCTTTTTTCTTTTCCCACACCTGACCTGTCCTAGGGCCCTTCCCTGATACGTGTGTGCATCTTTTTGCCAAGATCGATTCCAGCATGGAATGGGGTAACGCCCCCTCCCTTTTTGACTCCCGAGGAGCCTTTGTGTGCATTTGCAGTTGGGGAGTTCTCCTTGACCTCAGGAGGGGTCATCTTATCTCTTTACTCCAGCAGAGCTCAGCTCCCGCCATTAACTTGGTCCTTGGAGTGTCTGGGAAAACAAAGCTCCAGTTTATTCCACTTGGCAAACTCCAGCTGTCCAGTCCGGGGGCCCATCTACCTGCTACCTCAGGACTCCCAAGAAGCCTTTCCCATTTATTCTTTTTGGTTGGGAGGTGGGGTACGCAGTGGGTGGACTCCAGGCCTCTTTGGCAGTTTTTCTTAAGACCCAGTTCGGACAGCCATGGTAAGGGAGTGAGTATTCAGAAGCTGTGGCACTCTGGTTGAGATCAAAACACTTTAGACCTTCAATCCACAGCATGATGGTTATTGAAGAAGATGCAGTGAGCCTGCATTGTGGTTCTGGATTCAGTAATCCCTTTTTAGCCATGTATTTACATTTTTCTTGGATTGTTCAGGAAATAGGATGAGGTGTAATACTCAAAGGAGGGGCTGCAGTTTAGAAATCTAGGCTTAAAGACCACTGTTTTCTGGGTCATGCTCACGGGCACCGAAAGCACGGTCTCCCCGTCTCACTGCGGGCTGTGGGTCACAAGCTTGAGTCCCAGGCTCCTGGAGCTGGCTCACTGGATGACCGGGGCTGTTCACGCTCAGCCCGTTTCAGCCACGTCGATGGGATGATAACACCGACCCCTCAGAGTTGCGTCGAAACTTAAAAAAAAGACCAAGCGTGAGGAACGCATTACAATCTTGCGACATGGTGTCATCCTAAAGGCCATCACTGCACTTCCCTTTCCTCCAGATGTGAGGGTTAAACCCTTGCAAAATTAAAGTCCCGTTTTGCTGCTGCTGGTTTTCTTCTTTGTTGGAGCTGGAGGGAGGCTTAGCACCAAACCTGTAGGGCACTTTCAGCGAGGTCTGCAAAATGTTCATTTGTGCCATGGCCTCATTGCTCCGTCTCTTTTCTGCCTCTGTCTTTGTTTGCCCTTTGCTCTTCCTTCTGATTTATGCCATCTGGCTGCAGGATAGGAACTTTGATGGAAGCAGCTTTAAATTCTTTTGGGGAAAAGTTATTAGATGAAGAACCAACCAAACAAATATGGCTGCACCAACTCCCCTTCTTCTCCTTTGAGGTTAGAGAAAGGATGGAGAACAAAGCTGATCCGCAGTGGGGCACTCAGTCTGGCCACCATCGCTTCCTGCACAATGACAAACCACGTGTGAACACTAACCTCTTTCAAAGAGACCACATCTGGGGGAGAGGGTGAATTTTGACAGCTCCTTAGCTGAAAGTAACCAATAATTCTTAGCTGATACCATTTAGAATGAACAGTTTTGTTAACAGGAATAATGCAAACAACCTTTATTTGTGTCAAAATTGGCCCTTTGTAATAAACTTTATGTCAGGTTTTTCCATATGATATCAGGGAGTGTTAACTAATCAAAGTATTTTGTTGCTTCAAGACAAGATGTATTTTTTTTATCATCCTTTAGAGTGCTCTTATTTGGGACAAAGTTCTGGGTTGTCTCCGGAAATGAGACATAGAGACAGGGCCCCATAGAACTAAATTTAATATTTTAAGTATTGTTAATATTTTATTACAATTTTGTTCACATTTATGTGGCACTGGATGATAGATTGCTTTTTTAAAAATGTGATTTAATTGTTGAAAAATCAGATTGGCTTAATAATAATTCACTGCATGGATAATTTTGTTGGCTGACATTTGTTGTCTCAGTTGAAAGCCTGCTCGTGTAAATGGATTATCTGTAAACAAGGTTCAATTTATTGATAGGTCTATAGCGAATTATTGGTCAGCCTGAGACTCAGACCATATTCTTGTCCCCTGATCAATGATAAGTTTAAGTGTCGGGGAGTATAAATAGCTACTGTGTTTATTTTCTGTCAACTCCTATGCCTAAAATACACAAGAAGTTAACATATACATATCATTCCCAAGTATTTCAGAGTTTTTGAACTTTTACTGTATTAAGATGACAGTATAAATTCATCTCACAGTTGTGATTCACTCTTCAGTTTGGTTATGTGAGTTTATTCTGTAGAGCTCATGAGACCTTTTTGGCAAAAAAAAGTCCCTAGTGTTTATAGTGATGTGCTGATGAATGTGTTTGAGATGCAATTAAATATAAGTTATTTTCTTTTTTCAGTTCTATCCGGAGGTCCATTGCCTCAAGGGCATGAATTTGAGCTGTATGAAGTCAGATTTCATTGGGGAAGAGAAAACCAGCGTGGTTCTGAGCACACAGTTAATTTCAAAGCTTTTCCCATGGAGGTAAGAAGAACGAATCGGCTTGTAAAACATTTGTTGTTCATGTAAAGTATTCAGCGATTTACTGAAAATGGTTTAGTTTAAAAGTAGATGTGTAGCTCTTGAATGTAATCAATTTATATTAAAATAAAAAAGTGCTCCATGAAATATAAGCTTGGGGCAGCAAATGAGGCTTCCCATCAGCCTTAGTGGGCTTGGAGAATGCGCATGGGCTGTTGGTTATAAAGGCAATCTATGCTATTAAGTTTCATCTTAGTATTATTACTGTTGTAAAAATTCTGCTGCCTCTGCAAATTCAGGAGGTCACTTTTGTGGATGCTATGAATAGATGATAAGCTGAAAACAAATAACTTTTGGAGAAACCTTAACAGTAATTAAAAGTCTGGTTTAACTCTGGTTAAAATTGGTAAGTTGGTTTTATTCGCCTCAAGCAGTTAGAGAGCGAGAGAGCGAGAGAGCGAGCGAGAGAGCGAGAGCGAGAGAGAGAGACAGAGAGAGAGAGAGAGTTTTAGTGAGTCATTCTTTTGTCTGAAGAATTCTCTCCCCTACTTATCTTCTTAGCCAACTCCAGCTCTTACTTCAGTATCTAGTTAGAGTATCACTTCTTCCATGGGACTTTTTCTGAGTTCCTTCCCTAAGCAGAACTAATTTCTTCCTCTTCTGTGCTCCCAGTGTCCTTGATAGCTGTGACATTGATCTCATGCATTGTAACCTTTAGTGTTTAAAGAGTCCTTCTCACTAAGTGTGGGCTCCTATTATGGACTGAAGTGTTTGTGATCCCCGTCCCCCCAATCAAATTCATATGTTGAATCTCTACCCCCTGATGTGATGGTATTAGGAGGTGGAGCCTTTGGGAGGTGATTAGGATTAGAAGAAGTCATGAAGGTGGGGCCCTCATGAGTGGAATTAGTGCCCTGATAAGAGTCCAGAGAGAGTTTGCTTCTCCCTGCTTTTTGCTGGGTGAGGACACAGGAAGACTGCCATCTCCAAGCCAGGAAGTGTGCCCTCACCAGACACCAGATCTGTCGGCACCTTGATCTTGGACTTGCAAGCCTCCAGAAGTGGGAGAAATAAATTCTGTTGTTTAAGCCTCCAGTCTATGATAATTTGTTATTGCAGCCCGAGCTAAGACAGCTCCTGAAGAAAAAGTCTCCCTTTCACTCTCCGTGTTACTCCCAACATTTAGTGCAGTGCCAGGTACATCAGAGACAACCCACATATGTGAAATTGACAGGATGTCTCTGTTGTTCATATTTATTTCTGTAAGGACCACAGTTCTCTCCTGGGAAATAGCCCATCAGTGTCAAGTAATAGTACATTTCAGGGGCTGCCGAAACACCAGTCTTCCTTGTCTGTCTTTCCCAACTGCACATACTTAAGTATGGAATTGCTCCTGGCCAGATACCATGTCCATACCTGCCTCATTGCCTGGAAGTCACTACTGTTTAACTTATATAAATGATATATGTGCCTTAAAGAATGAAGTTAGAGAAAGTATTTCTCAATGTTACTTTAACAATCATTAAAAAATTTTCTTTTGAAAGCCCAAAATATCCCTTTCATTAAAAAAACTCAGGTCTTAGAAGTGAAATATTAGGACTTCCCTGGTGACACAGTGGTTAAGAATCCACCTGTCAATGCAGGGGACACAGGTTCAAGCCCTGGTCCGGGAAGATCCCACATGCCGCGGAGCAACTAAGCCCCTGTGCTACAGCTACTGAGCCTGTGCTCTAGAGCCCGCGAGCCACAACTACTGAGCCTGTGTGCCACAACTGCTGAAGCCCATGCACCTAGAGCCCATGGTCTGCAACAAAGAGAAGCCACTGCAATGAAAAGCCTGCGCACCTCAACGAAGGGTAGCCCCTGCTCGACACAGCTAGAGAAAGCCCGCGCATAGCAACAAGGACCCAAAGCAGCCAAAAAAAAAGTGAAATGTTAAATGTTTCGAGGATGGAGGGAAAAACGGTTGCAGTGTGTTGAATAATATATGTGGTATGTGATGCCGAGGACAGTAAGAGGAGACAGCTTCTTTGAGGCCTTGATGGGCGATGTTGGGTCTTCAAATGTTAACCTTTCTAGGGGCTTTTTTCTCAGTTCCCACAGACATCCTATCACTTCTAGTGCCTTGAAACAATTCAGCCCTGTCTCTGTGTCACCTCTGGCTGTTGCCCTGTCCTCACCCAAAGTGAAAGGGAAGAGTTCACACCAGAACATATCAAAGAGGAGGGAGGACACAAGACAATCCCGAATAACTAAACCTGCAGGGTAGTGGAGGGCTGAGGAGGGGCAGGAAAACACTGGGCTGTCAGGGCCTCGGCCCTGCCTTCTTCTTTGGGTTTGAAAAGCTTTTTCATCTCAGTCAGCCTTCAAAGATACAGTCTCATAATCAAAAATTTTGGGAGAGATGGGAGTCCTTGGGTCGGCGCCAGCTTCCGGAGGGGATTCAGTGACTTTGCCTATGATACACAGAATTTACAGCCTCGGGAAGTTCCATGAGATTAGGCTAGTTGGTGATGTGTGCTCTTCGCCCCACAGTCGAATAGAATTTTGGACCCAGCGTGCAGACTGGTCCTGCTACTTGGTGAAGTTTTAACTGCCCTGGTCCATTAAGCGCACAGGTAATGGTTTGTGTTGAGTGGAGGTTAAATTCTGGTGGTGAGGCTTTGTTTCTGCAGAAGTATTTATACTTATGATGATGCAATTTCTGACTAATTTTTCCAAAATAGGTGATGAATAATACTTGAATTCTTTGTTATCCCAGATTATCTCTGATCCAGTCCTAGAGAAAATACTTCTGTCAGTCATCTGACGTTCGTTTAGTGCTGGATCCTGTGGAGTGCATCAGTCTTTTGGGTGCACAGAGTTTGAGGGGCATAGCTGTGAGTCAGGTGCTTTCTGTTTTGTTTTAATGGAGGCTGTGAAGAGTGAGCTGGGTTTTCAGGTGGAGAGGGCTGAGCTGGTGAAGGAGAGGAGAGAGGGACTCCACGTAGAATACTCTGGGAGGGAATGAGATGCCTAATGTGGGGATAAGTAGGTAACTTCCCACCATCCCCCTGTTCTGTACTGCCATCAGGGCCACTTGGAGCCCAAGGACATAGCCAATAGGACAGTGGGGAGTGAGGGCACTGTTTACCCGGTATGTGATTTAAAAAAATAATTTTTTAGGACAGTTTCCATATCTTATTTACATTTTAAGACTAACTTTAATCTCCAAAAGACACATCAATACGTATTTCCTTTTTGCTGATCTCACTTAAACCTAAATGGATGGCTTATTCAGCAGCCATCTGTAAACAAATAATTACCTTGTCTGTTACATATAACGTGGGAATGGCTTTTAACAGAAGCTCATCAAGCTCCCCTCTTGACTTTTTAAAATTATAAATACAGGTATAAACGCAATCCTGAATATATTTTTGATGCTACGAGTAGTCAGCACCCACATCACTTCAAATATTAACACAGTTTGTGACATTAAACAGTTTATTTATTTATTTATTTTAAAAAAGATTTATTTATTTAATCTATTTTTCTGGCTGCGTCGGTCTTTGTTGTGGCACACGGGATCTTCACTGAGGCACGTGGAATCTTTGGTTGTGGCGTGTGGGTTTTCTCTCTCTAGTTGTGGCACGTGGAGTCCAGAGCATGTGGGCTCTGTAGTTTGTGGCACGCAGGCTCTAGTTGAGGCACGTGAGCTCAGGAGTTGTGGTGTGTGGGCTTAGTTGCCCCGTGGCCTGTGGGATCTTAGTTCCCTGACCAGGGAGCAAACACGCGTCCCCTGCATTGTAAGGTGGATTCTTTACCACTGGACCACCAGGGAAGTCCCTAACAATTTAAACTGCAGCTCTTGTACTCAGCAAAATAGATAAAGCTTGTCCTTTCTGCTTTTCCTTCTTGAGGTTTGTAGTTTTCAGAAACACACATGCTTCCACAGCTACCTGACATTTTTTGCCATGCTTTCATCTTGTAACCGAATTCTATTACGAATACTCCAGGTTTCTGCTTAAATGACAGCACCTTAACAAGAGAAAAGAGAATTGTGTTGCATTTTTCTTCCCATTACCCATTACCTGAAAACATAATGGGTTTGCATTGTTAACTATATTCTTACAAATGTCTGGGTGATGTCTACCAGCTGGAATTCTTAATGTGTGGGTATTTTGCATCGAGATATTTAATCAAGACAGCAAACGTGAGTAGAATGTTGTTGATTTAAAACAAGGATGGAATCCAGTCAAATTAATTCCTGTATGTTTGTCCTGGAGGTGGTGGTAGCTACATGTTTTCTTTGGACGGCATTAGATGTCTTAGCTCTTGAAGTACAACTTTAATGCTGTATGAACTTTGTGATTTTGCTAATAGCAGTATCCTTTCTGCATCCAGCGTATCACTAGAATTATTTATTCTATTCATGTTAATTTTGTTACAAATCTAACTAATGGAGGAACTTCCAGGTATTTAGGTTCAAATTCAACTTTCAGGCTATGTATTGTGTTTTCGTCATTTTGTATGTGGAGACCGTCATGCTCTTTGCTACTTCAACGTAGCCTAACTGTATATATAACTCCTGGTAAATTAATCTTTGCACATGAATTGCTACTTTCATACTGCTATGGGAAAGTACATCCCAGGCATTTAGATTTTATGCTGGAGCAGCAAAATTTAAAAAAAAAATTGGGGGTTGGGGAGACCAGCAGAGTGGCCAAGTTTTATTTTTTTCAAGTAACATTATAACTCACTGCTGTCCCCATCAGTTTGTAAAGAGAAGATCTCTAACTTAATAGCTAAATGTAGGATGGATATGGTCTCAGGATAAACACAGGCCTATACATTTCTTAAAAATTTATTTATTTTTAGTTAATTTATTTATTTTTGGCTGCGTTGGGTCTTCGTTGCTGCGTGTGGGCTTTTCTCTAGTTGTGGTGAGCGGGGGCTACTCTTGGTTGCGGTGCACGGGCTTCTCACTGTGGTGGCTTCTCTTGTTGCAGAGCACGGGTTCTAGG